AGATCAAAGAATCGATTGTCGTAGTTTTTGATTGGTTGCGATTCGTTACGACTCGTTTTTTTCGATTAATTATCGCGTATTATTCGTTCGCATTGATCCAACGTTGAACGAAAAATGAAATCTTCCAGTCCAATTGATTTTCCATTGAAATGTTTTTAGTAATTTCAACGTATGGAAGCAAGAATTCTAGTGATTTATGTCAATCACTTGTTCGGTTTACGAGTAGAAATACTTTCCTAATTTCAGAATTAATTTACCAATCCAAAAATTTATTCTACTTTTTTTTTTTTAATTCTTACTTAGTTTTATTTTCCTTTCAATCTGGAGAATTTAAATCGTATTATAAAATCGAGATTGAAAGCAGTATTATTATTATTATTATTATTATTAATTTCTTAAAATCTGAAATTTTTATTTTGAACCGACAATGTGTAATGAGTAATGGATCATCTTAAAAAGCAGAATTATAATACATCTCTTAAATTCAATTTAACATTAAAATCTGAAGTAATAATACATACGTGAGAAAATGATGGGAAAATATCATCGTCGTTAATTTTAGAAATTCGTAAAATTTTAACGAGAATTCAGTATTCGGTATAAAATGTTTGTTTACGATATATCGTTACAATATAGTAATTAATTATTACATTATATCGATAACCATTCGTATAATATTATCGTTATTTCGAGTTTCAAAAATATAAAATCGTGTATAAAAACGAATCATGGTTGGAGAAGTGATTTTTTATTCTTACGTTCCTTTTCCTTTTTCTTTTCTTTCTTTTTTTTTTTCTTCATTTCCACGAAAATCGAGCGATAATCGTGAAAGAAAATATCGTAGATCCTTCATCATAAAACGATGATTCTCCATGTTTTCTATAGAACCGCAAAACCTTCTCTCGTCCTCCGCAGGAGGGGGATCATTCATTTTTCATCGACTTAAAATTCATAGTGCCCCAGTTTCTTCTGCCCCTCGTTTGCCGAGCTTCACCCTGAGAATTTAAACGGGTTCCTCCCTCCTCTTTTGCGGTACCTACGAATTGGCGAAGGCCCTTTTCGTCGCATTGTTTTATTCCATTTTTATTGCCACATCACCATCGTCTCTCCTATTCTCCTCTTCCTTTTCTTCTCTTTTCTTTTCTTTTTCTTGTTCGCGATGCGGCAAGGTGAACGCTCGTTTTATTTTGTCCCTTCCTTGTTTTCGATATTGCATTTTTCATATTTGCAACTTTGCTTTCTGCTATCCCCGAAAAGAGGAATAAATATTTACAATACCCTCTTATTTCTCTTTTTTGACATCTAACATCTTACTTCTTTTCCTTCTCTGTTTTTGCCACAATTCTTTTTTTAATGTGTTTTGTTTCATGGTTTTTTTTTCATATATTTTATTCTACTTTGTTATTGCTACAAATGTTTTTCATCTACCGTTGAATTATTGAATTAGTCTTTTTCTTGTCGGAGGATAACAATGTTTATTTTTTTTTTTTTTTTTCTTTTCAATTTTTTCTTATTCTTGTACTCTTTTAACGATGCAACGTCTTTTGATCGATCCTGTACACTTTTCTTTTTCATTAACTGCATTAACTCTTCCGTACTTCTTAATCCATTCCACAATTCTTTTCCAAGTATTTTTCTGCTCCTTTTACATCATTAAAATTTTTCCCCTCGGAGCTTTTTGCCCGTTATTCGAATTCCATCCTTCCTTGGAAGCTCGAATTCCGAATCTCTCGTTTCAGCAACACTCTTCCACGATTCCTGTAGACTACTAGGAAAATCAAGTAGAAAATGTTCGATACTCCAGTAACAGTTATTATTATCGGATAACGTTCTATGATTCGCACGATTTAAAACTTTCTTCTTGGATCGAACGAATAAATAATCCAATTTTTTAAATCTAATCTAATTTGAAAATGAAAAAGAGAACATTTTTAATTTCATTTGTGTCGATCGAACAATTGATTCTGTTATTACATCATTAAGTATTATATATTGTACTCTTTACGATAAATAATATTTTTAAACCAACCAAGTTTTAATCCAAGTTTTAGTACATGTAATCTTCAAAACATTGCAATATTGTTTTCAATTATGTTAAGAAAATAAAAAATCTTTGTCTCCTCCCTCTCCTTCCTTCCAGAAGAGCAAGGATCGGGGATTTCTCTTAATAACAGACGACATGCTTACAGATTTCCCTCGTAACTATGCTAATGGCGGATGGAAAACAATGTAATTTCTTCGGGAGATGGATTCTTTCAGGATTGACTCCCTCGAATGTCTCTAAGTCATTGCGTTCCTCCCCATAGAAATGAAAGAATACATGAATAACAAATAGAAAAACGGTGAAGGAAAGTGAACTAGAAACGTTCCGATTGTTCTAGGGAATTGTTTTTCCTCTCCTAAACATTCCTTCGAATATAGGGAATATTTTTTCGAAATCGCCAACAAAGCAATAAATAAATTAGTTTCAATTGTTCTAGGAAATTATTTTTCCCCAAACAATTCTTCGAATCTAATTTCGAATATCTTTTCGAAATCATCAATAATCGTTGAAGTTGCGATACGCAAATAGATATAGAAACGCTGAAGAAAAGTGAAGTAGAAACGTTTCGATTGTTCTAGAGAATTATTTCTCCTCCCTAAGCATTCTAGGGAATATTTTTTCGAAATCATCAACAAAGCAATAAATAAAAAAACTTGTCTGGCAACGTTGAAGTTGAAGTTGTGATACAACACGCAAATAGATGTAGAAACGCTGAAGGAAAGTGAACTAGAAACGTTTCGATTGTTCTAGGGAATTATTTCTCCTCTCCGAAGCATTCCTTCGAATCTAGGGAATATTTTTTTGAAATCGCCAACAAAGCAATAAATAAACAAACTCGTCTCGCACGATCGTTGAAGCTGCATACAACAACTGACTTGTAAAAACTAACACAATAAAGCATATTTGAAAGATTTATCGGGAATTTCGGATTTCTCTTTTTGTAAATAACCGCGTTTCAACGTACCAATTTCCACTTTAACAGGATTTCCACGGTTTTATTTCTTTCGCTGGATTTAATTCGCTCGCATATTCGCTCGAACGTGTATTCACAGTTCGCGTATCACGTGTCCTTATCAAGGGAAAAGAAATTTTATTCTCGAAGAACGAATTCGCGCTGGAACAATGTCCAAAGTTTCGTTAATCACGCCGTGTATTAATCTTTTGTCACGTGGGAACGACATACGCGTTCACTCGCGTGAAATAATATTTCCACAGAATTTGAATAACGAATTAACATCGTACTACTAAAATATTTCCATGATAAGAAAAAAAACCAATTATCAATTTTTATAATAGTAATAACTTCTCTTTGAATAGTAACAAAAATATAAGAAGAAGAAGAAATTTGTTCGTACTTAACCTCGATCCATCATAAAATAATTCCAAATTCTTCTTATAAATAATCATCTTACATCATTTCGTTTTATCTTAAAAATACACACTTCGATAAAAATTGTTTCATCCCAACCAAAGGAATCGGCGAATAAAATTTCTCGAATAAAACTTTCTTGACCCAACAACTATCCCAACACGAAGAAAATCTCTCTCTCTCTTTCTCTCTCTCTCTTCGAAGATACGCACGATGATAAAATATTTGCTTTCGACCACCGTTTCACGGGCGTAGAAGTTTCTCCTCCTGTGGAAGGGGGGAATTCGTTTATTCTTCCGCGAGATTCCTTCGCTTTCGATTCGATCGTCCCTTCTTTTCGTCCACTTCGTGGCACCGCCGAAGTTCGAGCCATTAGAGCGACCGACCACGCTTAGTAATTGAATTTGCAAGTTTCTCAAGGGACAGAACGATTTCATCATCGTCTTCCGCTGTCTTTTCTTCCGTAGAGGGGAAACTCGATACTTGGAAAAATTTCTGTCTTCCTCCCTGTGGTGCAACTGGTTGGAAACATTGGAAACGTTGGAAACCCCCCTCGATTCGAATCGATTCGTGATTGGATTTCTCTGATTTCACGTTCGTTCCTTCTCTTTTTTCACTTCGAATTCGCACGATTCGTGGTTACGCAGAGAGACGAGTTTTTAAAGAAGTTTAAAGTCTCAAGAGTGTTATTGTTCTCGCTAGTTTGTACGGGTTATCTTTTCTATAATATTTATAATAATAATTTTTGATATTTTTATTCTTATCAAAAATCACGTGAAAATATGTAAATATATTATACGTAACAAGGAATGTTTATCCTTCGAACCGATCGTAGATTTGATATTCGTGTCACGTATCTTTTATTCCCTTCTTTATCGTTGTAGTCCCTCAGAGGATTAAATTATTGAAAATTGTGATTGCTCTGTGATATAATAAAAAAAATGTATTCTTTTTGGCTAAAAGAGGGATTTCTACAAATATACATGAAAAGAATCTTGAAGAATGGGAATGTTGAAATTTTATATTTCTTTATTCTATTTCATTTTTCTGTTGCACTTATTATTCTGAAATATCGATCGTTTTTTTTTTTTTCTTTCTTACTCGTGAAATAACTGAAACAGTGGATAATCGTATTAGACACGGTTCGATAAAATTTTTCTTTTCTCATTTTTGATTCTTTATTTCATAATTTTTTCCCTTGCTTTTTATTCGTTTTTTTTCTTTTCGTCTTTACATTCGTCATTTTATCACTCGTTTTATTCGATGAAATTTTATTCAAAATTAGTTCACTTTTTTTAATATTTCGATTTCTTTTTTTTTTTATCTTTGGAATATTATACATTATTCTATTAGTATACATTTTTTAAAATTGAAACTATTTTATTCAAATATTCTAAAATATCCTGCATATTATTTTATCTGCGTATTGTACGTATGAAACACTTAAACCATATAACTAGAAATATAATACAGGGCAAAAATGTGAAATTCTGTTTCAAAAAAATAAAAATAATTTTATCGATATAATATATATATATTAGATGAGATATGAATAAATAATTAATACATTTTTATGTCTTAGATTTTGAGAAACTTTAGAGTTATAATTAATATGTAACACTTAAATTTTTCGCGCGGTCTTGAGTGAATAAGAATTCTCGTTACAGCCAATTAGAAAACGCTAGACAAACCAACCAATTAAAAAATGGCAAGCGTTGCGTCATTCGTTTGTCGAAAATTATCGCGACAGGATGTGTCGTCGACTTGAGACGTTTGATTTCAATTACGCAGTAAGTAATTATTCCTGTTCTACTATTGAATTTATAAATTATTTTTAACTATATTTATTTAATTATTCATTAAATATTGCGATAATAAAATCAATTAGTTAAATTTCTTTAACCTTTTCCCTTCGATTTTTGTCTGTTGAGGTTATCGATATAATCATTGTTTTATTTTAATATAATTTAATTTTTATATATTTATTTTAATTATGTATGATTTTGATTTTTATTTATATCATTATATATTATATATTGTTTGATTGCATTATGGAATGATTTCGAAGGAAATAATAATTTTTGTCATGCGTGTGTTATAATGATTTATAATCGTTCGATAATTTTTTTACAAATCTGCTATTATTTTTTATCAAAGTTTATTCTATCAAAGATAGACGTATTTAATTTTTATTTCTCGAAATTAAATTCTTTATATACAATCATAAATATATACTTTGTTAAATACGTCTATCGTTCATGCTAAATTTATTATTTCTGTATTTGTTTTGCTCAAGGAATTTCTTATAACCTTCCCAAGTTACAATCGACTTATTACAGTCGAACAGTCTCCCCTCTCCAATTTGAAATTCGATACGATTATTATGGCTTGGAGCGACATTGTGCTATCGATATTCGTGGCGATGGAAGCGTCATTTTTCCGTGAGGTGTGTAATCGTTCTGCTGCGTAATATTTGTTGTATAACTATCTTTTATCGTTTAATTAATACGTGTTGTTTTATATTTTAACATAATTACTTAATAATTATACATAATTATACGTTTTATACGTTTGTTGAAAGTTTTGGTTTTCTTTTGTACAGATTATTAGCTGATTGCTGATGAATTCGAGTGCGGGAAAATTTTCAATATATAGACGCCATGATGTACCGTGTGCATATGTTCTCTATTTGTTACGTAGTATTTTTAATTCTTTAGAGGATACGTAAAGTTAGAGTCAGTGATTGTTATTTGTACCCATTGATTAATTTTTTTTTTTTTAATGTTTTGAGTATGTATATGTATAATCTAGTTAGTGTTTCTCTCAAGAGGTTAAAACGATCATCCATGCAAAGGTATCTATTTTTATAGATTTTGTTTTAATTTATTTTACATTTTATAGTTTCTTATAATATATTTTATGTTTTGTTATAGACTTTTTTCACGATCTTGACAACTGACAACAATTTTCACGATGCATTAATGGCAACGTAGATTCTTCGTATCTAATGGTGAGTCGCATGCATTTTTGTTCCTTCAGTCGCTCAATCATGTCACAGGATGAAAAATCCGAATCGACATGACTGGTTTATATACTATAGCATTTGTACGAGCATAGGGACAGTTGGTATTAGTTATACCAATGAGTAGTAATATTTTATTTTTTTGTGTTTTATTTATTAATTTAGGTTAGATTTTCTTGTACATCGCTGTTTTTTTTAATATTAATGAATTTCCTAGTAGCATTTTTAATGTTTTAATCGTTTTATTTTTGATCTGATTGGAAATATAAAAATGATAAATTTATTTCTATCGTATAAAAGTTTATGAAATATGAATTTTATGTGCAAGAAGACAATTTGCGATAGATAAATTTCATAATTAAAGCTGTTTTAAACATTGTTTTCTTGATTTCAAAAATATACTTTGAAAATATAAAGGAATCGGTTGAGATTATTTCTATTAATAATTAACTTAGAATCAATTATTTTATTTTGCACTCAATTTTACATTTAGTTTTTCCTATTGTAAAAAAGTTTCTTTTCTTTTTTTAAATATAATTTGAAATAAAATTAAACGATAAATCAAAGAATATTAGATATATTTTAGAAATAAATGCAATATATTTTTTTAGCTCAGGATTTTTAGATTTTCTTTCCATATCCATTGCCATAATCACATTCATGTGCCCAGATGATGCTCGGTTGAGAAAGAGGCGATGGGCATGATGACCCATGATGATAGTTTATAATCTTATAACAATTTCTCTCAACGACTAACGATGTATTAATGTATATCGTGCATGATGTATTGTATATGTGTGTGTGTGTATGAAATTGCTGTGAAATTGCATCGCTACTGTCATTTCATTCGCTATTATCAATTCCAATCAACAATATAACAATTTGCAATCGCGATATTACATCTTTTATGAAATATCGCAAATTATAAATAACAATCTCTAATCTAGTAATATTTCTTTACAAATTATCTTATTATTTTAATCACGAATGTACATAATTACAATTGAGATTTTTTTATACAATTTTAACACTAATCATCGTCGGTCGATCTCAGGAAAATGGTACGTAAATTTAAAGCGTAAAAGTAGTGTGTCAAGCTCGGGTGTCGGAGGCGTTCCAGAACGTTCTCCCTAGTGTAGACTTTTTGCGCTCGAATATTATGTGCGAGAAGCGTGGAGAATGTGTTGGTACACTTGTTTTTTAGCCATCTTTTAAATATAGAGCTAGATAGGATAGATAGTGTATTTTCTGCTTTGCTTATCAATTGTAAGTAAGACTGAGCAAATTGTCACAAAAATTTCTGGTAACGTTTTCGCGTAACAATCGATTTGGAAAATATAATTTAAAAGATCGAGAATCAAATTGGATTGGAAAATACTTATATTATACGTAATTGTGATTTCTGAATTCTATACACACGATGATCATTAATATTAGTTTTTATAATTTCTACGAACTACCAATGGCCTCTCATTTTTTGGATTTTCCCTAGATCCAAAGGATGGGAAATTATTTTTATTACTACTTTGTCACTATGCTCGTTCAGTAGTATATAATAGTATTGGTAATAATAGTAGCATATTTTCTGACTAACGTGCAAATTAGTCTATTATCAAGTTATCATGTGCAAATGTGCATTGTTGCGATAAAACGATAGTCATTTGCAATAGTATTGTCTTTTTTTTTTAAATATTATTTTAATCGTAAATTAATATAAATTCCTTAGATTATTCAATGGAAAGGATATCGATTATTACGTAAGTATTAATGCATCACTTTAAATATTATTTTTAAGAAAATTATAGACATGGAGAAATATTATTAATCCAGTTATTTAATTTTCAATCACCCAACGACATTAATAGGTCACACTTCAGTCAAAGTAACAATTATTTTCATTAAAATCGATTGATATCGAAAATTTTAATCAAAGTTTGGCCATTCGATCCGATAAATAGATCAAAAATTGATCGAATGACCGCGAGGCTTTTCCTCCCTCCACCGTAAAATTTTGTTTATGCGAATCCCAAGCCGCGAGCAATTTCGAAAATTGGTCTGTGTTCTCGGTCAATTAGCTTTCACTCTCGTGCGTGAAATCAGGAAGCGCGTTGGGGATCGAAAGTATCGAGGCAAGTTTGCGAAGGGGCAAATTGTGATGGAACCGTAGGGAAACATTGATCTTGCCATTTTCAAATTTGTCCTAATACGCGATGCAGGAATTATATTGTATCTCATCGTTGGAATTTTCGACAATTTTATTTCTCTCCACTTTTCTTCTATTACCAAAACTATCGTTAATTCGTGTGATCCATTAATTTATCCCTAGAATTTTTTTTATCTTTAGAAAAATTTAAAGAAATTTCGTTTCAAAATTCAAGTCTATCGTTAATTCATGTAAGGTTAAAATTTATTCTCGGAGCTTAATCTTTAGAAATTTAAAGGCGTTTAATTTTTAATCAATACTCTAGTAGCTTCTCTTCTCTTGCAAATTTTAGAGAATTTGCATGAAGTCTTAAATATTGCAAAATTTTTATCAAACTTTTTGGAGGCCAACGTGATGAATTTCACTTCTTTTTTTTTCAGTGTTTCTAGTTAACGTGGCTGTCGTCACTTTGACCTCCTAACAGCTATCAGAATTGAATAATCTAGTGTTCAAAGGGTATTGGACATAGCCTTGAGAAGACGCTTCCTCCTCTTAATACAGCTGGATGTCACGTCCCAGACACTCCTTTGATTGTATACCCTGTCTCGGTTTCGATACACTTTCAGTGTCCTATGAAATTTGAGTTTAGGGAATTAAATTTTCTCTAGAGAAATTTTCTTCCAGAATATATTAGAAATTGTATTTCTTTTCTACATAATATTCCTAGTCGTGGATACTTTTCTTCATCTCTGGATAAATTTCTCCTTTTTAAACCTGTATCATGATATTTTGTATAGAACATTTTAGGTTCAGTTTTACTAAAGTAAATTGTTTAAATTTGTTGTAAATTACTTTTTATAAAATCAATTTTAGGGATTCCTATATTCTTAGCTGTAGGTCAATTAATAGTTTTCTTTTCTTCTTTTTTTTTTTTTAAATCTGTACCATGATATTTTAATTTCGGTTACTAAAATAGTTTGTTTGTTTGATTTTGTTTTAGGCAAATTACTTCTTATAAAATCAATTCTAGGGAATTCCTATATTCTTAACTGTAGATCAATTACTACTTTTCTTTTCTTCTTCTTTTTTTTTTTTTTTTTTAAACCTTGTACCATGATATTTTGTATAGAATATTTTAATTTCGATTTACTAAAATAAATAGTTTATAGATTTGTTTGGTTTTGTTGCAGGTAAATTACTTCTTAAAAAATCAATTCTAGGGATTCCTATGTTCTTAGCTTCAATTATTAGTTTTATCTAATTTTTCCCACACTAATAAGATAGATTATATATAATAATAAATCTTTTCTATTGACAAACCAGGCTAATTAAAAAGAATCATTCTCGATGATTGATTAAAAACTTTATTCTCTAAAAAGCTTTCGACATTTTCCTCACCTTTATCAGAGATGATTGAAGATGATTTCCCTTTCCATCGAATAGAAGTTCCAGATGGTCTTTTAAACTTCTGATCTTATTCAATCTTCCTTCCAAGGGATCCTTACGATCCAGCTTATTATTTTCCTACCGGTGCTAATTAACTGCGCTGCTTATTTGAGAAGATAATGAAAGATTCGCGATAAGGATAACCTTCCTGTTAATTAATCTGTTAAAGAAATTGAGAAACATGTTCCCCCAACCAAGAAAATTAATATCCTTTTTTCCAATTTTTATTAAAAGGAAAAATTAATTTTATCGAAATTAACAAATTTCACATCATCGAAGAAACTCGAACTTAATTAATCGATAATAACGTCTTTTAATCGTGAATCGTTTTCCTTTCGATATTCGAACCAAGGATTTGAATAAAATTTAATTTTATCCTCCCCATTTTTTTTTTTTTTTTTTTTACTTAAAAAAAA